TTTTTTTGTTTTTTTGGTATTCCCTCTAAATTGAGATAGGCTTGGATCTCACAAAATTGATCAAAAAATAGCTCAAAACCTCAATTTTGGAGAGGATTTTGCAAGAAATCACTGTAAAACACTGTGTTTTTGCATCATGTTTGGCATGAAAAACATCTCCCAGGAGCACCCGTTCTGAATAGAAACTACCAGTAACAAGCACCTGAAACCCAAAACAACAAATTACAAAAATCGAAACATTAGAGCTTCCAGTGACCGTTAGTGGTCCCACGACGCCTTTCCGCTTGGCTCCACAAATCTGGTCATCTTCTCAAAGTGGAAGACATGTAAGGAAAAACAATTGGAAATAAGTGGAAAAACAATTGGGGAGACAAGTTAGCAGACAAGGCAGCGGCAAACAAGACGTCGATCAGCCACCCAGTCATTGAGAATCATTGAGAAGGAAGAACCCTGCCTGATAGCTTTCAGCTATCTGTGGAAATATTGAACATCCAGGTGGCACAAGTCGAAAGCTCGAGCAGCTCGCCTCTCTGGATTTAATCGCAGATGGGATGTCTCCCTGGGATCGTGCCTGGGGAACCACGGATTCGTCACAAAGTGGCTGACAAGGCAGCGTATTTGGCATTGACCAACGCAGTGACCCTGTTTTGTCCCCTTGACGACCGTGACTCAGCCTTGCTCACCCCTGTTTCGGGGTGAAAGGGGCACGGCTGGAACACGCTGAAAAGAGCTGAGCCACATCCAAGTCTAGAAGGAATTTGGTCAGCTCCTCGGACTTCTCCTGAGGTGGCGATGCTTCACTCAAAGCTTCGCGCAATGCTTAACCCCATCGCAAAGGCATCTTGGGTGGATGCTGAACAATCTTGGGCTGCCCTCTTGGGTTCAATTCTCTTTGCCAATCTATTTGGGAACACAGACTTTGTCAGTCAGACCGCAAATCCTATGCTTTTCTGCCTCCAGCGGAAGGCCTGGTATATTTGAAGGAGGTTGCAGGTTGATGAAAATCACTTGTTACACACTTTTCCACCCAGGTCTATAGGCCCACATAGTCTCTCAAGATGATTCAAAGGTCGTCGTCCGGTGGGGGCTTGAAATGTCTCCACCCGGAGCGGGCGCCCTGAAGGGCCTGGAGCTCTCTTTCTCGAACTTGTCTCTCCTTGCGCATCTGAAACCACCGCAGTGCGCTTTTTCAAACGGACCGTCTCAGATTGAGCTCAGAAATCAGTCAGTCTATGTCAGTCTATGTGCCACCAAATGTTTCTCTCACGTTGCCAAAGTTGAGCAGAACGGAGCAACCTGTTCTGCAAAGCATGGCCCAAAAAGACACAAGCATGTGCACCCTTTACAATTACAAGAATCCAGGAGCAATTCATACCGTTTCATACCAACAATTGTGAAGTCGTCCGAACTGCCCACCCTGCCAACCTGGAGCAAAGCGCAGTTCGTGTTTCTCATCTCCTGCGCACCCCGTCGTTCTACAGGGAGGAGGGAGCAAAGAAACTCAGGATGTCTTTGCCATTGCTGTACGTCGGTGAAATCATCGAACATCAGAAGCTCTTTGTAACGCCAGCTTGTAATATTTCAGCTGTCAGCTTCAAACGTTCTGTCAGCTTCAAAAGCATTGACCGTCGACTGTTTGCAGACCGTTGCAGTCCTCCACATGCTGGCGGTCAATGATGACCTGCCATGAAACCCTTGCACACCCAAACTACAAACAGCATTATTCTCTCCATTGTACCACGGCGAATCTTCTGGCCACCCTCTCACATGTACGCCTATGACCTATGAAGGACACCACAAACATGCCCTCGTTGACTCGTTGATTGAGGAAACACTTAAATTTGACCATCTGTCATATCTTCTGAACCCTCGAGGCTTCCCTGGAAGGGCGGGTCCCAGAGGTCTTCCTTCTTCCCTGGCGGCCCTGGCTCAACCGCACCTGATCTTGGAGGGAGCGCACCTGGCGGACGCGCTTTTCGGACCTCTCTCCGTCTCTCCGTCCGCCCGCTTCGAAAAGCACCAAGGTCGGTCCGGTGTGTTTCACCACAGTTTCTTGAAGCTCCTAGTAGCTTCCTTGCTCCTAGTAGTACGGCCAGGAGCCCCTAGTAGCGATGCCCTTGTTCCTTGCAGCGTCCTTTCGCACCTGCTTCTTGAGGGTCTCAATCTCATGGTCCTTCTTCCGAAGCTCATTCTCACGCTCCCGAAGCTCATGGTTCTTCATGTCGATCTCCTGGAACTCGTGGCACCGGAGACACATGAGATGCAGCACGTGATTTCTCAGTGTCCACTTGTAGCACACATGAATCAGATTCCTTCGATCGCTTCCGAACGAATCCGAAAACAAGGTCCCAAGAAGGCAACAAACATCAGAGATGGAGAGCTGACTGAGCTCATCCCGGAGCTTCGGCTCCTGATCCTTCTTGGCAAGTTGTGCCTGCATAAACAGGCGACCAGCAAGTTTCGAAGTGTCGCTATCGAGTGAATGTAAGAAGTCAGCGATGTGCAAGACCTTGGGATTGTAGCGCGCTGGTCAAAGGACGCAAAACAACAAAACAACAAATACACGCCAAGCAGGTGTCTTTGATGTCTTTGATCTGGAGTTTCACAGAGCTCTTGACATGTTAAAACCACAACACAAGCTCAAACATGGATGATCTCTGGCATGCAAATCAGCAAGCCACCAGCAAGCCTACACTCCCCAATATCACAGCAGCACTGCAAAATGATCCTGTGAAGCATGAGTCAAGACGATTTTTTCGAGGCCCTCATGGTGACTTACTTTCTTCACCACCAGCGGCACCCTTTGGCTCTGCATTCGTCGTCGACTGCGGTCGACACGCCGACGAATCGACGAAAAAACGTCGGCCGCGCCTCGAAGCTGCTTTCCTTGCTGCGCAGAGTTCCCTCTAACTTCCGTGCAGCCTGGGGATTGGCGAGGCACCGTCCGAAAGATGAGCCGGAGTCGGAGAGTTTAGTTTGGAGTATATAAATCTGCCCTTGGCATAAATCTGGAGAGTTTGAAGTAGATCTGGAGACTAGCCCTACCACTACCCCACCATCTCAAGGAGCGCTTTCCTTTGCAAGATGGGTTGGCAGCTGGACCAGCACAGGAGCCAGCAGCCTTGAAGAGAATAATACAAACCGCAAACCGAGGACACACCAGTCATGTGAATAGTTGACTCAATTGACGAGCGCAGGCCGGCCTCGTCTCGCTTCCTGCACCACTCGTCCTGTGCAAAGCTTCAAGATATGGCTCAATCACAACCAAAGACATAAGAGTTGTGATTCACCCTTCAACGAAACCTAAAACCAAAAAGGATGTCCTTCTGAGTATGCTCTTGCTCGAGGCATTCCACCCTTGCCTGCAGGTGCCTCAGTTTTCGCGGATTGAATACAAAAAAACCTGCCACCTTTGAGTAGTAAACCTTTCGAAAGTGTGTCAGCATTGATTGAAATGATTGGATCAATCTTATCCACATGCATGCATGATGTGACCACTTTGACTGGGACAGAATGGTCTTCTCGCGCTCGGCCACCTCTTCTTCTTTTCGGCCAGCCTGTTCGGTGCAAGTTCAATCACCATGCATGGTCCAAGTGTCATGAATATGCTTGGCAATCTTGGCAATGGTGCGGAATGATCCCCCCTCAGACAAGAAATCAAAAGGCTCGACACGGGCCGCAGCCAGCCCCGCACGCACGGATGCCTGCTCATCACGGTCGTGCCTGCACACGGATGATTTATATAATTAATGACTTTATTGCGCATGGAGGTGCAGTGGAAAGGTCTTGGTATGGTTGAAAAGGCAGGTAGGCATGGGTATGGCCAAAATCGCTTCTCTCCGAAGAAAGGGTGCTTGCTGCTTGCTGCCGAGCAATCAATTCGCCAAAGAATCATTCAGCGCGGGAAGCATCAAGTTCATCTTCTGCTATGCACTCCAAAGCTGTATCTATTCGGAACGCTCAGCACAAGTCTTTGACCCCTGTCATGGCCCTGCAAACAACAGCCCGCTCAAAACACGTTCAAGTATGTCATTTCGTGTCAAAATATTGTTTAAGGAAAGATGGCTTCACTCAGTTTGTAGCTTTTGCGGTGAGACGGTTCGGTTCAGACCACCATCTAAAGGGTCATATGACCTGGGTGTGTGGCAGGACAAGCCCAAACACAAATGTCTCGGGTTGGAGTACCAAAAGCCTCCAACCAACAAACATCAGCTTGGAAGATCCACAATCCACGAAGAGAATGCCATTTGATCTTCTTTTGCACTAACCCATCCTGATCTGGTGTCCACACTGCTTACGCACGCAGCTTGCGCAGTTCTTCTTTTTCTCGCTTGTGCTCTTTGTCACAGCTTATCAATGAGAACCAAACCCACTTCAGGCTCATTGCAGTATTTGACAATGTTCACCAAAGTCCTTGGGGCCGCTCCAAGCTCTAAGACCATGACGGACTAACATTGGCGACGAGTCAAACAAGCGAGTGAAGGCTGACACAATGTTATTGTCTCCAACGAGAATCCGCAAGTTCTCCTCTGAAATCATCGCAGGCTTCACTTCGGGTGTAGCTGCAGGGTGGATTGCTAGAGACACATGTCTGGTACAACGCTTAGTGCATGCGTTTGTACTTGAAATGAATCTTTGGAATACTATGTCCTTTACCTTGGCCTTGAAACTGGGTCAGGAAACCAGCAACCTGTCAGAAAACGCTCCTCGCTCACCAAATCGTGCCTTCAAATGGTGACAACGCTGCTCTCACAGAGTTGTACACAACACCTGGGCGTGAAACGACGGGCTCAACTCAGATCCCAAGGTCCTCGGACTGTCCAGTCTACTGGGTCAAAAAATGGAATTGCCTCACGACCTGTTTTTAAGCCCGCTCGGCCTGGCCTCCTTACTCAATTAAGTAAGTGCCTACTTAATTAAGGGCGACTAGTTCGCTACTGGCAATAGGAAGCTCCTAGCTAGGATGCAGGGAGCTTCCTTGAAGAAGCGCTCGCACTCATGATTTGGTTCCTAGATGTTTAGGGAAACTTGACCTACAATCGTATTGGACTAGGTTTGCAAAAGGCACTTCGATAAAGGTCCATGAACCAACCACATTGACATGTGTCTATCTATATATGCTACAGTATATATTTGGTATACGGTATATCATATCCCATTCAATGTAACAGTGGATGATGATGGTTAGCAAAGGCCTTTCTCTAAATAGTGATAACTGTTTACTGACTGCTACCAGCTAATGGGACACCCCCAACCTGTATACCTCTTCTCATGGCCCCATGGTGGGTACACAATTTATGGACATCCAACTGTTCTACCTGGCCTTTAAAAAAGAGATCCACCCCCACCAAGCCTTCCTGCCTTCGCCCATGCTCATGATGAGGTCCTCCAATTCTTCGATCGTCTCCCCTGTGGGCGCCAGGTGGATCCCCAGCCTCAAAGCGGCTCTGGCCGGCATGACATGGCCGAAATGTTCGGCACCCGATAGAGGGAAAACGGCACGTGGGGAAGAAAGCCCGAAAAAAATAAGAAACCAGTGGCAGTGAGAGGGACACTAAGTTTCAGAAAAAAATGCGGCTTCACAATGCTCTTTCACGTTGAGACGAAAGGTGCTTGACCCAAGAGAAAGCTACAGAAGATGGTGTCTAGCTGGCTAGCTGCTTGACAGTTTGCATTGGGCAATGCAGAGCTTCCAAATTGAGAAACGATATTCTCTGGCCACATGAATTCAAACACGTCCAAACCTCGGTTTTTGGGGTGTATTCATGGGGATGTGAGAGGCATGGATGGACAAAGTTTGTCAAAAGCAACCAAATATACCCACCCGATCTCCCCAGCTAATGATATTCTTGGTGCCCAATGTTCGACCAGTGACTGCCGATGTCCTTCCCAAAACTGATTCAGCTCCTCCAAGCAGGCCGAACGAACAAAGGGAACCGAATCGGCGATCCTCTTTCACATCGGAGCTAAGTCCGGTCCACGTCAGGCAGGTCGCGTGCAAAAGGTCGGAAAGTACGTGGGCTTTTCGCGCCCTCTTTGTGGTCGGACCACTCAACTGATGGAATAGGTGCTCCAGACTCCAGTCTGAATAAGCAGTGCGAGAGGTATACAGCTAAAGAGGCTGCCCGATCCGTGACAGGTCGAGCTTTCCAAGACTGCAGTGACCCAGGTGTAAGATTTCTTCCATCAACAGGTAGGAGGCGGATGATCTACTAAACCCTCCAAAATGATCATTGCACAGGCCAATGGAAGGCCATGGTATTGTCGTGCCTCTTGTTGAGAAACATGTTTTTGCATCTTCTCTACAAGAAAGCAGCTCCAACCCTGCCGTCATCCCGAGGTGTCCCCCATCCTCCGGGTTGATCTCGCTGCCCTTCACCCCACCAGCACACCACAGGAGCCGCCCGGCCACCGTCAGGGCCACATGGGAGACCACCAAGTCCTCTCGTGTTGCCGCGGCCACGGCCAAGAGGTTCGCAAGCTTCAGCCAGGCGGTGAAGACAAAAGGCCTCTCGAGGTGATGGACATTTCTGGGTGTCTCTTTTCGCAGGCATTCTGCCACAGGCATGTATGTGTGTATGTGGTGACCAAAAGGGAATCACCAAAAAAGAAAAGGAGAAAGCTTTCCCGACCGCCTGGAAGTCACAATGGTTTGCAATACCGCGAAGGCCACGCTTATGGGGCAGCCGCGACACCAAGAGTAGGTTTCATCTTCATTCATGGCCTCACAAGGCCAAGAGTGACCTCCATCTCTCAATGAAAACAAAGGACCAGTCTTTCACAGAGGAGTGGGAGAAGGCTAGAGAAATGAGACGAATCAATCCAGTGACTTCTGGACATCTACAACACACTAAAAGGCCATCGCTAATAGGTTGGAAGTAGCTAACACAAGCTCCTCAACCCGCCCATGTGATCAGTGAACCGCCCAGCCTGGCCTGGACCACTGGCTCCTGGTCACAGCTCTTCATCTGTGGCGGCTCGCTGTAGTTCATTTGGGTGTCCCGCTTCCGGGGAGAAAACCAGGGCAAGTACGCCGTTAAACGCGGCATGCCATCCACCACCAAAGCCTGCCAAAAAGGGCTGTGGACATGATACTTGCTGATGCGGCTGTGTTTGAATATGGTTGGATCAAGTCCATCTTGGCCATTCAGTCACATCATTCCATAAAAAGTCACATCACCGCTGGGCGAGTTCATTTGAGGACTCGTAAGAACTAACATTAAAGGTCCTCTTGCACTTGAGTATGAGAGTTGACAACTCTACTGAGAAAAATGTGTCTCCTTGTTGGAAGGCTCCACAAAACAGCTCTTGAAGTCTGTATCTTCTCGAAGCTCGTCGGTCACGCTCAGCATGAGCTCCAAACACCTCAGAATTGACTTCGAACGATTCGAACGTCAAGTCAGTGCTGAAACTCCCCAAGGACATGACATCCTATGTGCTTGTTGGAACTGGCATGCTGCAGCTATACTCCTAGCATCTCTTAGGCAATGCATGCTTCCACAAGTGCCAACCCCCACCTAGATTTGCTGTAGGACGCATGGTGCGGATTCTTCACAACCAGCTTGTGCGTCAACAGCGTATTCTCCGGAAATAATGCATTGGCCAGGGAGGAAAATCTCCTCGGCGAGGATCCAAGCTCATGTTCATTCCCATACATGGCAATGTTAGGAAGCAAAGCCCAGAGAGTCTGGCTTTTGGGGGGAAGGTGGATCTTGGCTTTTCGACCAGGCTAAAAGCCAAGCTTCCATTGGGAGACCCATTGGCAATCATCATCAAGATCGATGACATATGGCAGCAGCCAGTGGGATGCATCCGAGTGCACAGCAACGACCGTATGGTCAAAGTTAAGGACACTGCGCACATCAGACGAATCGGACTGTCGATACTCGCCCAAAACTTGGCTGTAGTCGAACAACTCCGGCAGACCCACTGCAGGTTCCCAGTCGAAAAGGAAATCAACGAAATCTTGCCAGCCCGCCGTCCAATCATCCACATCAGCATCAGCGTCCACAAAGACATAATAAAGGTAACCTTAGATCTTCTATGGACTATCCTCTAGAACAAATCGATCACTTCTTGAAACAGACTTTGGAAACCAATGAAAACCTATAAACACCTCTAGAACACAAAACTTGAAACGCACATGTTGTTTCGATGAAAAAAAACGGACCCGCAGAAGTAGTCTTGGATTCACATTGCTCCGTCGAACAACTGGCCTTACTGGGCTATGGGCCCTTACCGTTGGCCTTCCTTTTGCTACTTGCGCTCAACTTTGACCCCTTACTAGTAAGATCTCAGAAATTACAACTTCTATAAGTGGAGGCCCTTGCATACTGCTCGCCTAAACTGCTTCAAGGGCACGTTGTCCCAACTGAAGCTCCCACAGCGCCGCGGCCGCGAAGAGCGCGTTGCGCCCCTCGGCGATCACCGACTTGGGGAACCACAGGGCGTCCCGGCGCCGCGTCCGGAAGGTGAGCTTGAAGACGTCGGCGCCAAAGGCCCAAAACGCCGACTCCTTGGAGGCCACATCTTCTTCACCTGAACAAAATGATGGGAGGAGGAGGGCCAGGAGGATGCCAGGGCTTAGAGAACAAAGGATGACTGGAACACAAGGATGACGGAAACAAATCCTGGAGGATTGTCCTCTTTCAACTTCAATCTTTGGGATTCTTTGGAGGAGCACGTCAAAGAAACTAGGTAGTCGTCATACCCTTGTTACTAGTAGCGATGCACTTGTTACTAGATGGCCTCTAACCTAATAGGGATGGCCTCCAACCTAGAAGGGTTTAAGACCTGCTCCCTACTTTTCAACAGAGCTCAGCCTTCAATGAGGCAGGCAATGCGGTTGCCCAGTTGCAAGCGTCGGGCCTTCGTCACGATCTGGGACCTCGGTCGGACCCAAATCTTTCACCAATTAGATATATACATATACTCCGGTTAAGATTAACGCGCGGCAAAAAAATATAACATTATATTTAAAATATATATATATATATAATGGTGCTATGTTTGCAAGTTTCCTCATCTACATCCGAGGGTTCCATGTTGGTGTGCCACGCGGTGTTCATAGTTAAAAACCACGTCATGAAAAGCGTGGTTTTTCTCTTCGAGAAGGGTGGCCACTTGAAATAAACATGGAATCGCAGGACGCGTTTTACTTGGCCTTTCTGTGACTTCCTGCATGTCTATGTTTGTTTGCTTTGCGTCTCCATTCTTTCATTAATTATGCAATTTCAATTTCCTTGAATCCATCTACTCCCTGCAATGCTATGTTTGTTTGCTTTCCAGTCGCTGCTGGAATCCTGGTATTCCCCAGGCTTGTGGACCTGCCAACTGCCACGTTAAATGTGTGTGAGTTGTGCCTCAAGTTCCGTGTTAATGTATATATATATATATACACACCCTTTCTATCAAGCCAACATGGCAATCCACAGATGGGTTCAAGGATGTTGCTGTGTTCGTTTGTGTCTTTTCCAGAGAAACCCCTGGAATAGGTAGGTGGATCTCATCGATTATGAGGATCTACAATGTTTATCCCAGATTGGTCAGCAAACTTCCCCAACGACGGGGAAAAGAGGGGATGGCGATGGTTGTGCCAATGAGCTGTGGCGCCCCAGGCTCACCTCTACCTCTGTGTTTTGGGGCGTTCTACTTTGAGGCAAGACGGGCAATGCAAGCACTGGACAATAGGCTATAGGTCAATCATCAACCTCAAGCTATACGACCGCAAAGTCCAAGTTATATGGGATTGCGCCAATGAGGATAGTTTTCCTTGCAAACGTCCGATTTTGCCTGAACCGCTGTGACCCCTCAACATGGCCCCACTGCATGTATTACTGCATCTATTCCATGGGACACATCCAGTAAACCTTGTCTACAAAACATTCTGTACATGCTTTGTTGACTCTCATGTGACTCGCGTGCATCCAGAACACAGCTCAGGCCAGTCTTCCCGCGTCAATGTCCTACCGTAGAGCGGATGATGCCTGGCACCGACCGGTTCCAACATTCACCGGTGGAGACAGGTCCATGCGTTCCTCTTTGAAGGGTGTGACATCTAGGATCTGCACATGCACTGTGCATTTGCGGTTTGGATGGAGTGCAAAATTGTTTCAGTGGCACTATGAATGCGCAGCTGGCAGGTCTCTCCGATGTAGGGCAGGTCTTGGAATTGATGTCTGAAAATCATTCCGGAAACAAACAGAAACGAAGCCGCTTGTCTGCTTCATCTCCAAAAATCCATCCGCCCAGCCTCACGATTTGCTCTTTGCGCGAGGCTGTGGCTAGGGAAACTGCGTGAAGGCATATGGCACGTTTCATGCCGAGGGAAACTGAATCCAGGCGTTGCCCACATCCAAGGTGCAGAGAACGAAAGGGCAGACATGGCACGCAGCCCGTCCACTGCAAAAGGCTGTAAAGATATGTGATATGAGATGAAGAAGGTGGTCCTGAAAAAAACAGTCCTACAATGTCAGTTGTGAAATGTTACCAACCCCTGGGGCAGATATGAGAGGCTACATAGCTATATACCTAAGAAGTATTGGATGTCTTGCGATATGTGTGTGTGTTTTTCCCGAAACGTTCGGCAGCTTTGAGATATGTCCCTCATAGCAAATGGACTATCCCTCGGCAGCTTTGGGTGTTCGGTCAGTTGGTCACAGTGTCTTGAGCCGTCGACCTTGTCGAATCCTTCTCATGGATGGCCATGTCGAACCACTTCTGTTGGACCAGTATCTGCTTTCCCAAGCAACACGTGGATATCAAGAGCCTCACCGAGCTGAGGAAGCTCCCTAGAACTAGAACCCTCTATCTGAGTCCCAGACCACCAGACCACCAAAAACGGGTGATCTTGGGCACTTTGGATTTCCAAAGGAACTTGGACGCCATACTCTGTGGTTCGCATCTGAGAACTGCGCGAAGATCACAATAAAATCGTAGAACGGGCTCACAGGCTCTTGGAATGTTTGTGTAGACTTTGTGATTTTGGCTATTCTCAGCTGCCATGTTGCCAATAAATCACCAAGAGCCACACAACTGAGAAAGCTTCACAGTGACTGTTCAAATTTGTGAAAATTCTATGCGGATCAGGGCATGCAAACCGATGGTTTTACATCTATACTTTCCCTTCTGCTCACGCTGCAGTGATTTTTGCGAAAGACTACGATGCAACTCCAATAGGGAGTTTGGACCCATCACCCTATGCCCTATGATCCCAGGCGAGATTTAAGTTTTCCTAAAGATCTAGGAATCAAATGAATAGTGCAAGCGCTTCTTCAAGGAAGCTTGAGCTGTCCTGCGTGCATGCTAGTAGCTACTTAAGCTACTAGCTACCTGGCTTCTACCAGCTACCTCTAGCTACTGCCTCCTCTACGGCCTACCCCCCCTTAAGGAAAGAAACTAACTCTGCAGCAGATGACAGAAATCATCACGGGTCGCGCCTGATTTCGTTCAGTTCATCCTCCTTTTCCAGGAGCTCTCTCTCTAGTTTGGCCACAGCCTTGTCTTTCTCTTCCAAACTGCAGCACGGATTGAGAGATGACAGGGGCAAGAAGCAAGGACTGGAGAATACATGGTGTGTGACGTGTCTCTGAAAGGATGGCCCCAATTGCTTCCTCATTGGTGTTTGTTGCATGCTGCTACCAACAAGTCAAGTAACATTGTCTTCAAGCTTCTTCAAACTTCCTTAGCCTCTTGGAGTCTGAGAAGATGGGATTCAAAGCAGCTGCAATTTGGCACAAGAAATGTCTTCAGCAAGTTTCTTTCGTTCGACACTCCACGAAACAAAACGTCTTCGGCATGAGATACGTCTTCGTCTTCAGATGGGTTGATGTCCGGACCACGACCCCCGGAAGGTCCGAAGTTCCCCCCGAACCCAGCTCGCATTGGCCTGACTTTTGTGAGCTGCAACTGGCCGAAAGCATTTTCGCAAGGCACTGGATTGGTAGATCTTAGATGATGGAAGTAAAACTGGTTGTCTTTGGTCTCCATGCGCTGTGGGTGGTCTCTGGCGGCACCAACCAAGAGGAAATCTGTGGAGGGGACCAGGGAGTTGCTCATTGTGAGGAAATCTATGTCCATTTCACTGCCGTTCTTTGGGTGACTGCACTGGCTGATGGGATTAGTTCACAGTTCGTCAGCTCCAGGTTTTGCACCGGCACAAAATGAAAGGTTGAACGAGAAACTTCTAGATTTCGATTCTGGATTCAACAGGATTCAACCTTGTCAAAAAGACCAGAAAGAAAAACACCCAACAAACACGAGGCTTGAGATGGACCGAAAACAAGCATCCGCTTTTGTGGAGGCAAGCCAAGGCAGGCCAAGGCATCAAGCCAAAGGCCGTCTGTACAATGCACTTTCGGCATTGCTGAAGTGAGGCTGAAGATTGCGGGTCAAATCTGGAAACACCCAAAAGCTGCGAACCTTCGGATCCTAGGTATCATATCACTAAACCATACTAAACCGTTTTGGGGTGGCTGCTTTTGACCCAACCGTCCATCAAATGTTCTGTGATCCTGTGATTTCGCAGTCCTCCCTGAGCGCAGAGCTTTCCGCAGCCCTGGGCCTTGACGCCAAAGTTACAGCGACAAAGCCTGAGAGTACCAGCAGTGCCGCCAAATACGTCCAAGGCGTAAGGTGTTTCTGGCGCACCAGGTCTGCCAGGATACTTAAGGGGATGGTCAAGCTGAGCCCGACTGTGGCAGTGGTTGGAGAGGTCCATTGAACCGCTTTCGCCCAGCAGAATTGGCTTAGGACATTGTCGAAAATTCCATTGAATATTAAAAGCCCGAATATCTCAGGCGTCATCCTCCGAAGGGCCTCTTGTTTCAGGCTAAAGACCAGGGGCGCCCCGATCACCAAGATGGCAACGCCAATGACGCCAAACAAAATAGCCATGGAGAAGTCTGGTTGCACAATACGGCTCAGGACCGTGGTGTAGGCCGCATAGAGCATGGCTGCAACGATGCACAACAGGTCCCCCGAAAATTGTCCCTTTTGATCGGGCTTGTCGCTCCCAAGCAGTGTCGCTGCATTCCCAGCCATACAGCAAATAATTCCCAGCACCTTCAGACACGAATGCGTGCTTCCAACCATATGTTTGTGGAACCATTTAACATGGCAATATTCTTCTATGGGTGTTTGACGTGTGCTCGATGTGGCGATGCATCGGCACACCTTCTCATCAACCATGTCTCCCATGATGACTGACTCCTGGCATTGATTATGTCCACCAAAAACGGACCAAGTGTGCAGTGACTGCCTTAAGGAGTTCGGAAATGAAACCCTTGAGGTCCCTTGAGAAGCTTCACGACATGCAACACATGGTGCATGGCTTTGCAGAGACAGGCCTCACAACATCAAGTGAATACTCCGTGCGCGCTCCATGGTACTCCGAGAGATGAACTAAACGTTCCTGTAGCGGTGGGAGGTAGCTAATATCTAGGGCTGGGCTAGGGTCAGGGTTCTTATTCTTATTTGGATTCCATGTATTGCACAAAAGCACTGCAAATGGGATGCAACAAAGGCAGGTGCATCAACACCGTCATTCCACCTGCTTCCCACCGTTCAAAGTGTTGAAGGGTGGACTGTGCACATCCGTAAAGCCAAAACACATACCACCGGAGCCTGGCTGAAACCACATGTTTTGTGTTCATCCTCATTTTGCGTTCTGCGTTTTGGGCATCGTTTTGCTCGCCTTCACAACGGTGACTTTCTCTTTGAGGAACAGAATGCTCGCAAGTAGTGTCCAAACCACGGACGTGGTCGAGATCACCGTGGAGGCCGTCACGGACGTGGAGGCCACTCCAGCGGAGTAGGTCCATTGTGCCGCGAACCACAACGGTGCGATGATCAGTCCGCCCCGCATGGCTTCTCGCACCTCCCCGTTCTTGACACTTCCCTCAGCTTCAGCCCTTCTCCAGGGGATGGGAGAAACCACTTTTGTCATTCGAAGGAGACCGTGCAAGGGGAAGTGCACCGCGTAGCAAGCGTTGCAGACATAGGTCAGGACCAACGGCTCATTGTAATTCAGATCGCTGAAAATGAGTTGCTTCAGCACTGTGGCGAAGGTCCAAAGCACTGCAACGAAGCAAATGCAGGCGACGCCTGAAGCATACTGAGTGCTACAGAAGGCCATGGCAGCCAACTTGAGCCCCTTCAGCCGCAAGGTGATCATGTGCCATGTCGATTGGCCTATGCTCAAAATTGAAAGTGATGGAAAATCTATATAGAGAACGTTTGAGGCCCATCCGTCTTCCTTCTGCATCATGAGTCGGAAATATGTCCGCGATCGATCTTTCTTTTGCCCAGGTATTATTGCATCAGGCGACCGAACACTCCCTCACTTCAGCCTCCTGCTCCTTGTCCTGCATTTGTTGCTGCTGCTGCTTCGTCATGCAATCCTCAGAGAAAGGCCACATCACATGCGGCAATCTGCAGAGCTTTTCAATGACTGAAGTGCAAGTGCAGAAAGGTTGTGTTCAAGTATGTTCTGAATCCCTGCCTGCAGTTCGGCTGAGGTCATTTGAATTGTCTGTACCTGAACAATGGTTCAAGCAAAGCACAGACCCGCGTTTCAATTTACAAATCACTATTCGTTCTTAAATGTTGCTTTGCATTGCATATCCTTGCACACCCAGCTAGAAACAGCCCAAGTCACAGAAGTTTGCGGAGGCTACGATCACTTTCAGCCTCTATAGATATTATATATATACAACCTAAAAAGAACTAGTAGAAACAAGTGCATCGCTACTACGAACAAGTGCCTTACTGGGAGTAACAAGGACGCTTCTAGTAACAAGAAGCTACGAACTAGAAACTAGTAGCTTCTTTGTTATTACTAGTAAGGCACTTGTTCCTAGTAGCTTCTTGTTACTACTAGTAAGGCACCTGTTACTACTAGTAAGGCACTTGTTCCTAGTAGCGATGCACTTGTTTCTACTTTGTCGTGACTGCAACGATGGCGCACCAGGTCCATGGAGGTTTGCCGTGCGGGGCCCAAAAGCCTCAGATGGGAATTCACTTGCCGATCCTCGTGTGGCCGTGTGGGGAAAAAGAAAAACGTCTTCCTTCAGAAAGTCTGAGTTGACACCTGGACATGATCATCTGAATCATCTGAAACATCTATATTATTGTTTCTACTAGCAAACATTGCTCCTAGTAGTAAGGCCAGGAGCCCCTAGTAGCGTTCTTGTTCCTAGTAGCGATGCCCTTTGCTACTAGTAGCGTCCGATCGCTCCTCCTTTGTCCTCCAAGATCAGAAGCTAGTAGTAACAAGTGCCTCGCTAGTAGTAACAGGTGCCACGCTAGTAGTAACAAGTGCCTTACTAGTAGTAGATTCTCAACTCTTCGGAACTCCCGCGGAGAACGTTCAGATCGAAGAGATCTGCGTCGCCGGGCGAGTGGGCGCTTTGACCCGGCACCGGCCTGTGCGCCGCCCGCAGTTTCCACGGGTCAAACTGTAGAACCGCTGGGATGTGGTAGCCACAGCTTGGAGGCGAATTGATTTGGGTCCTCGTGACGAAAAGTCTTGAAGTAGGGAATTCTATGTCGGGGAAGAACACCTACAACATGTGTTCCACGTGAGAGTTATAACAAGATTGCTTGGCCCCTGGCCCCCCTCTGCTTCAAGACAATATTTTCTCGGTCAGAATGGTATATAGTAGTGTCTAAAATGTGCTTGCGGCTAGGAAGTAGCACAGCCAACTGCTGCTGCTAGGCCGCTAGGCCGCTAGGCTGCTTTATTGGGCGAGTTCACGAGCGGGCTTCACAATATGTGCAACCTTTCTAACAAAACATCCAATAGAGTCAATAGAGATACATCGTGCAGCCGACTTGTTTGTTGGGCACCCAGGCGCTGCGGCCGATTTGCTGACCTGCGCAGAATCGCAATAGCAGGGAACAACTAACAGCTCAGTCGGGCTTGCCCCAAGCTAATCGAGATCTTCAATCGGTCAAGGTCACACAAAGGCATGAAATCAAGGTGATGGTGCTTCTACAAGAAACTGTTCAGTTTAATCGGTGCTGAAGCCTTGCCCACACCATAGCAGCAACTCTTGTAAACATAGTTTTTGAACCGGTACATGTTTGTCTGTTCCCCATCAGTCCACTGTCACCTGGTTGCGGTTCATGGTGCTGCACAGGGAATTCCCTCCGGAGTCCTAGCAGCACTTTATAGAAAGAAAACAGCAAGGTAGAGCAAGGAAGAGAGAGAGAGAGAGCGAGCAAGCGAGCAAGCGAGCGAGCTCTTCAATGTCTCTACCTGCAGGATTCAACATGTGTAGCATTCACTATGCTTCCAAAAACATTGCCTTTTGAACGGCACTGCTGGTCTTTTCTGGCCTGCAGGCATTCTTTGTTTTTTACAAGTTTTGTGAGAACTTGTATTCTTCCTTGGGTTCTGCACGGTTTGTGTAGCTCCAGCACTGATCAAAACCTATTGACCAACTTGTCAGATGGTTGGGATTTGCACATTCCAAGATGAGATGAACTAGTTCAGCGGGTTTGGTTACAAGTGATTCAATCTGGTAAGCACATGAAAGGGCGTAATGAAGCCCGTCGAAACTTGTCCAAACAGCGCTGATTCATCAGCACGCAACTTGGGTGCTTTGGCGGCCTTCGTTTGTCAGTATATTTGTTCATATGTCTTTTTGGGATGCTGACTATCCACCCAGAAAGCCAAGGATCTACACGAGCATCATGCTGCTTTACGTAAGCAAGCTCAATATGTACCCTCCATTGGTATCGAGTCTGTATGCGAAGTTGAAGCAGCAAGAATTTCTTCCAGCGGCAATGGACTTCTGAACTGGCGATGACTGGAGTGTTGCTAAACTGCGGGTATGACATGGTATGACAGGCTCAGCGTTCCTTGCTCCTAGTAGCGATGCCCTTTGCTCCTAGTAGGGCCACGAGCTACTAGTAGCGTTCCTTGCTCCTAGTAGCGATATCTTCACTCAGCGAATGTGTTCGATTTCTTCACTCAGGTCAACTGTTGAGCCGGGCTCCTTGGAAGTGATATAGCTAGAGCCGCTGGGCGCCAAGGTGGTCGGAAGTGCAGAAGAAATGACCTCAGCTTCGATCCACCGATCGTGGCATTCAACGAGTCTTGATTCGATCTCTCAGTGCCGGCTCGGCATCTGCAAGTCTCATAATGCTTCATTCTGAGCACTATAAGCTTCGGCATTCAAAGTTACCACCTGCCACCTGCTTTTGTCTTTCTCGGTTTCTCATGTGCAAAGAGTATCTCTGAGCACTGTGGCCTGACTGCGGAGTTTGCAAGGCGTGGGCACCTGCAAGAGCTCACCATGGCTCATGGTCTTGGCAATTGAAAAACTCACTGTCGTTGAAAGCAGCTCCAAACAAAAGGCCCGAGGGAGCAGCACTTGTTGTTACAGTTCACTTGTTGTTCCACAGTAAAGGCTAGAGTCTACAGTCTACAGTCAAATAAAGAGCAAAAATGTAGCTACTCAAGCGGTTCAGCCTGCTTGATATGCAGCAAGGTCTGGCTGTGAGGTGCTCCTCCGCATTTCAAAGAAAGCCAAATGTTTGGACCAAATAATCAATGCAGCTTGACGAAATATGTGTTATAATTGAGCAATCATGGAAGTTTGGACACACAAAGCGCAAATCGCAATCAATAACGTCACAATCACCGTCGTTTGAATGGAGATAGATCATCCTCCGACGATCTTCCCAATCAACACAGAACTCCCGCTATTATCGCTATTCCGCTTTTTCTCAACATTCCGCTCGAATGTGCTGAATTTCTCTGTTTCACGATTCCCTCCCTGCCTGGAGCAAGGCTCGTTTTTGAATAGACCGGAGCCATCGAGGTTTGAAACACCTGAGCACTGCCCAGTTGTCGACGTCCCCAAGAGTTCCACAGGTGGAGTGTGATGCTTCCATTGCTTCCTATCTGTGAAGGTCGTTCAACCTGGTCGTCCAAAATGTACTTTGTTGTAGTCAAAAAAGATCAATAAAGCCTGTTCTGGCACAGCTAGTTTACAAGCACTGATCATCCTTGAAAACCATGAGAATTTGTAGCACCACCCACCAAATCATCACCGGTCCTTCCGCTGGGCTCTCGAGCTGGCCCCGTGGGAGTGGGCACTGGGCCCGAGCCCGGCGCGAGGGTGCCGGTGGTGGGAACCGGCACGGTGCTTTGGGCGCCCCCAGCACCAGTGCCAGCAGGACCCAGGTGACCGTAGCTGTTTTTCACGGACTGGGCAGGCAAGTGGCACACCCACACTCACACTCTATATATAATCTAGGCTTCTTGTTACTAGTAGCAATGGCCTCCGACCTACTAGCGATCGCCTCCAACCTACTAGATTCTTGCTACACAGAAAATACAGAAGCTGATCAGTGCGGATGTTCTCAATCCTCTCTCGATCCAAGCCCAACCCAAGCGACTGGAAAAGAGAGTTGGGCGAACGACGCATTACATGAGCAGTTCTAACCGTCCCCCTTATCCTCACAGAAGCCTCCAGAGCTTGCCCTAACTGAGGCCCATACGTTCAAGTAGCGCGGGGTTGGCGAGTCCCTGCACAAAGAGTTGCTTGACGCCATGTGTCACTTCGCTGTCAAACTCTCAGAAGTAAGCCGCAGAACTCCCGGTGCACAACTCGCAGGTTCGCAGGTGAGTGAGTTGGAAAAGATTTGATCTCCTCCCAAAGCCAACCAAGCCAATTTCTGGGTTCAAGATAGTTTCCGAACGTATTCAGAGCTACAATCAAACATGGCTCCGGCTCTGCAAGTGGAGTCATGAAAATTCTGAGCAGGTCGACTGAATCTCTTCGCGTCTTTCTACTCCTACTCCTTTTCCACCCAGCCAACGGCCCAATGGCCCAGAGACCTTTCATCGCTATTTACCGGTACCATCGCTATTAGGTTTGAGGCCATCGCTATTGGGTTGGAGGCCGTCGCTATTAGGTTTGAGGCCATCGCTATTAGGGAGGCCATCGCTATTAGGTCTAGAAGAGTCTAGAGTCTTCTTCTAACTAGTTTCAAGGGAAAAAACATGTTCATCGGATCAACGAAGCACCTGCGCCGGGGCGTGCTGGAGCGGCTCCGGACCTCACAAGCTTCTGCCGCGTGTTCGCACGCTTCGATTGGGGATCGTTTGGGCGTTGCTGAGGC